TGGGATATAAATTTGAATGTATCTTATGGAATAAATTGTATCTACTGTTAAGTTCGATAACTAGAATCAAGCAACCTTGATAAAAAGTTATGACAGTGATGTTGAAAATCTCCTGGATCAAAAAACGAAATAATCAAGTGTAACCAGTAACCGAAAAATAATGATAAATCATTCGATATGTATCGTGTTTAAAAGCCTCAAATTCAAGCGAATATCAATCGATAACTCAAAGGATGAACTATTTCAATATATATCTGAGCTGGTTTTATATTTTAATAGTGATAATTTTAGGCTAAAAGATAATTTTATTACAATACTCGAAAGAGAATCTTCAACAAGCTCTCAATAGCTTTAATGACAGTATATCTGTTCGTTAAGTTACTATTAGGTATTCATAAACTACTATTAGAACTCGACGTAAAACAATTTTTTTCTTTGAAAGCTCATCTTTTAGCAATGAAGAGACAACCAGTGTTTTAACTGTCCAATAGATACGATTGCGTTATTCTTTATAAGTAAGACCACGTGTGATGATTGTGTTTTTATTATATGAAGGACTGAGAAGAACCATGAACAATCGAGGTATATGTTAAACTAACAGCCATTTACGCAGAAGAAATCAAACGATCAAACATGTTCAAGGATAGTCTGTCCGAGTATGATTAGTATTATCAATTTATCAAGTGTCATTCGGACTTCATATTAATAACATCTCATCTATTAGAAAGTCATATGCCGATGTTTGTCAAGGTACTATTACAGAATGATTCAATTTAGTAAGTGTGTGTGATTCAATGATAAAAATAACCTGGAAAAAAATAGTTGCACTCGATTTTTTTAATATATCATCACTATAAAAGTACATTTAAAAAAAATAATTATATATTCTGAAAGCACTCGAAGTTCTCTATTACCCTTTATATTTATGTCTTGTCTTACATTTATTTGCCGCAAAATAAATTGAGTGCAATGACGGTCCCCTCATCGTCAGATTCCCAGAAATTGTAACGGGTGTGGCCTCTCAGTATTTTCTATTTTTCCCGTATTACTTTAAGACCCAAAGGTAAATGCTTTTTTTTAAAAGATGCGCCGTGAAATGCTCTACAAAACCGTCCCTAACCTTTACTTTTAGAGCTTTAGTCAAAAAAACTACGCAGATTATACGAAAGACGAAAAAAATTGATTCTAGAAGTTTTGTCACATTTTGTTTCTCTTATGATTTTCGAGCAAAAACACGCTCAGAGCTGTAGAACATCTTGATTTGACGAGAAAAGTGTGCTAAACATGTAGTTCTTTGTATTTTTGTTATATTTCCTAAACGACAACGCATGTGGAGAGAAGGAACGTCTTAGAATGTTCAGCATACTTTTCTCTTCAAATCAACATGTTGAGCAGCTATGGATGTGTTTTTGTTCAAAAATCATAAGAGAAACAAAATGTGACAAAACTATTCTAGAATTACACTACGATACTGCACTTCTGTTACCCAGCCGATTAGAAGCATATTCAATTAATTAGTCCAAAGGAATAATTAGAAGTTTCGTGGTTTTTAAAATTATTGTTTTCATGTATATTAGTTGACCATGAACTTCGTCGATACATTTCAATGTCAACACCTCTTCCTTTTTGTAAACTTTGATTTATTTATTTTGTATGTATGGGTAGAGAAGCGCTCCATTTTATTTTTAGAAAAGAAATTAAAATAAATAAATCCTAATAAATGTTTTGAAAAAACAAACAGACAAGTAATAACAATAAATTTTCAATAATGACTATAATTATTTATTAGATTAAATTATTTGCCATTTGGTTTCTTAGTTGAGAGAAATATTTTTTGTTCCGAAGCAATTTAATTAGTTAAATCCATTGGAATAATCAAATGATAAGATGTATCAATTAAACTGAGTTTCTCTTTGTTTCAAATATAAATACTGTACAAAAAATAAACTAGATCGTACATAGTTTATACAATATGTGAGAAAAAAGAATAAATGGCTAACTTGAGCAAACAAAACGATAACAACAAGAACAACATAGTTATAATAAACAAATCAAAAATAATAATGTTGAACTAGAATAAAACAGAGAACTGAAATTTATGTTGGAATATTTCGCAAATGTAATGTGTTTTTACTGCTTTGCAGTGATATGAACATGATCGAAAAACTGTAGACACATACACTAAAAAAATAACATAAGTAAAATCACTATTACATCATACAATTGTTGAATCAGTTCCCCCATTCTCCAACTAATATATTACATGTATTGAGCTCGAATCGTTGTTATTGGATTTGACGATAATTTTTTTGTTTAACCAAATGATTTTTATTTTGATGTTCGTCGCATTACAGTTCATTCAATATTTATTGTAATTCTCGATTTGCGTAGTAAAACATACATTCATTCTCAATGGTTTATATTCATGTAAGTGTGAGTAATATAACAAGAAAATATCACAAATTTTAATTGCAAAATATTGGTCATTTATTTTTTAATATTTATTAGTTAGAATTATTAGAATAATATGATGAGATTTTTATTGATATTGCTTCATCATGAGATAATGAGATTAACGGTTCTAGTAGTTTTAACGTAGGCCAATATTTTTCTACAATGAAAAAATTGTAATCAATAATCGGTTATAATAATTATAATAATAATCATAGGGTAACTTATTACTTACTTTGTACATGAATAACTTCTTTTAATGTTTTAATAGCATTTGAATTTGGTTTTGCTCTCAATGTTTCAATATCAAATGTTGGCAAATCTTTGCTTAACAAAGCTTCTACACATAATTTTCCACATTCGGCTAATGAACTTAATTCATATCCTCCTTCAAGTACGAGAATAACTTTTCCATCAGCTAAACTCATCAGCTTTTTTGTCATATATGCAAAACCTAAATAAACAAGAAATTTGGTATATTCTGTTTAATTCACATCAGAGTTTTTCTTACACATGGGCGTTAATTCGTAACCACCTAACGGATGTGGATGACCAACCGCTCCATCAAATCCACACGATACTAAAATGATTTGTGGACGAAAGTCTTCAAGAATAGGCATTATTACACTTCTAAACGCAAAAAAAAGGAATATTTCACTGTGTAGATCGCTTTCTCGGACTATAATTGACAAACAAACCGAAACGCTGCCAAATATTCTACATCAGACATCGGTGGTTCTAGTTCGCCATTCCATGGTATATTCACATTTTTGCCAACTCCGTCGTTAAAACCACACTAAAATTAAAATCATCTCCTAGAACAAGCCATACAATGTTCAAGAGCTTACTTCGTCAACGTTTCCACCTCCGGGAAAAAATGTTCCATTATCAAAACGATGTAAAGAAATATAGAGAATATTTGGGTCTTCATATGTTAGATTTTGTGTACCATTTCCGTGATGAATATCCTAAAAAAAAGAGGATATTCGTCAATCTTTCGAGCTTTAGAATATTCAAATATTTTCATATGCATACCCAATCAACAATGGCGATTCGTTGCAAATTTCGATGTTTTTTCAACCATTTTGCTGTTATAGCCACATTATTGAAGTAACAAAATCCTCTATTATAAATATATTGTAAATACATCAAGCTTATGTTATCATTTTTTATTAACTTACAGTGGTTTATCAGTTGCATGATGACCAGGCGGACGAACTAAACTAAAACCATTCTTTAATTTTCCATCCCAAACAAGTTTTGCTAATTCAATTGTATTTCCTACAGCCAGTAGACACGCTCGAATCGTGTATTCGTCATTCCAGACTGTATCTGTATCGTCCTTGATTCCAAATCCACCGCATGGCAATTGAATAATATTTTTTCGACGTTCTTCGGTTATGACTGCTAATTGTTGTGCTGGAATTTGGCTGAAATCGCTTTCGTATAAATAAGTATGTGAGAGACTAAAAACAAAATTCCATTTAAGAAGTTATCCTTTACTTTTGAAGAGAATTCATACTCGTAACCATCTGTAAGCATGTCTATTGTAGCGAATCGTCCATGAATGATTTCACAATCTTCTAGTAAATTTGAATTACGTAATTGTTCATGAATAACAAGCAAACGTCTCGGATTTTCCAAATGTATATCTGTTCTTTTACAGTAACACTCATGGTCGAGAGAGTCATCATCGTACACTATGCCTGTAATGTAAACAAAACTGTTAGTAATTAACTATTGGCGTAGTAATTTAAACAATTTACCAGTTGTATATCGTAAAGATATTGTTTGTGACAAACATTTTTGTAATTGTTTTGTAGACGGAAATGATAATAAACTGGATAATGATGATAAAGATTTGGAATGTAGAACTAATCCGTCTATTGCAGATAATTTACTCTAAAATATAAATAGTTTTTATGTCAATATAACGTTAAATAAATCAAGAAACTTACATCTACATTTGGTAAGTGCGCATGTGGATCCTAAAACATTTAAAAATTATATAATTTCAATTATTGCATTATTAATTTAGATTTACGAAATGTAACATTTTTGGATGACTACTATGTATTGAACTACAACTGTTATTTGAACTTTGAATTTTAGCTTCTTGTAATTCTTTGGCAAGTATGGCTTCATTTTCTTCTTCTGCAATAAAATATTTTGGTTCGAGTATATTTGTGAAATTATTTCTCGTTGTAGACTATTAAAAAAAGAAAAAATTCTCCAATTTTATCTATATATGATATACATAATGTGATCCTAACCTCCTGTTGCCATTGTAAATTCGGCATCAAAAATGGAGCATCAGATAGTCGCTTTGAATGTGTAAGTAAGCTATTTCTTTGAGCACGACCTATACATCCAGTTGAATAACTGTACGGTAATCGCTGCAGATTGACTCTGTTAATCCTATTCAGAAATTCTGGGACATAATTTTGATGACGTATTGAATCATCACTCTAAATCAAAAGTCAAGATAGTGATTGTAAAAACACAACTTTCAAACTAACCTCAGTACGTGTTAATATATCAGATTCATGCACTTTATGAATGTTTTTGTTTGGAAGATTTGTTTCTAAAAAGGGTGAAGAATACTAGTTGTTTTTTTCTGTGCAGAAGTTATGTAAGACTATGTGGAACTAGGCATGCACTAGTTTTTAACTGGTGTTGGGGCATCCGGGAGAATTGCTATATATAAGTTATCGTGATTCTCTAAGAGCTGTGAAACATCTCATGTTGTAGAAAAATGTTTGGTCTAAAAAATGCATTTGTTAAAAGAATTCCAGAATCATTTCTAAGAAAACTTAGAGTATTCAAAATATTGACTGTTCGAACAGTTTTTTTTCGTGATTTGATACATTTTTAGAACGCTCTAAGTTTTCTTAGAAATGATTCTGGAATTCTTTTAACAAATGAATTTTTAGACCAAACATTTTTTCTACAAAATGAGATGTTTCACAGCTCTTAAAGAATTGTGATCACTGATGTATAGCAATTCTCCCGGATGCCCCAATACCAGTTAAAAACTAGTGCATGTCTATGTAGAACTCTACCTTGCAAACTATATTGTAATGCTTTTTGAAGCGTTGATCTCGGATGACGTTTATCTGATGCATTTATTGGTGAATGTCTATTATGTGTCAATATTCGATGTCTTA